GGAATAGGATAATGCCTGGATACTGAATTTTTCAAGAACAAAGAACACAGTTGTTCTACGCGTACCCTGCAAAAGTCTTAATGGGAAGGGAATGGAAACATTTTACTTGTGGGCCTTGTTATGACGGAGCCGTGGGGGACACTGCCACTAGGCTGCCCTTGAGCCGAGGTCCTAAAATGAAGGTGGAGTCAGCTCACCCAACAGTTCAGAAGAACACGAGACCACAGGTGAACCAGAGCCCAGAAGCTTCATCTTCACCACTCACTAAATCAGCGGCTTCCCACTCAACAACGTGGGCTAACAGTGACGCACACTCAAGGTCGTTTGTGGCGATTACACAAGGTAATCAGTGTGGACCGGCTCTGTCAACACTGAATTTCAGACAAAAGGAAAGAGTGAGTTATCGCAGCCAAGAACGCTTGTGGGGGATTGGCTTGGATTTTAAAAAGAAAACAAAATCCAGCTCAACTCCCCTCTTGTGGGCTGCAGTTGAACCCCTGAGTGTTCATGCGGCTTTCTGGACACATGGGAGGATTTGCCCTCAGTGGGACGTCAGGTGGGCCTCTGTGAAGCCTCGGAACCCAGGCCTTCAGTGCTCTGGTGCCCCATGCAGAGGAGTGGGGCTGCAAATGGATGGTCCCTCCTGCTTGAACCACCTCCATCTGCAATTAGGAGTTTTGGTTTCTAGGCTCAGCTGGAATCCTGGGCAGTTCTACAACTTCCCTGTTTCTTAGTTTTCCTCATGGAGATTACTCAGTCTTACTTCCCTGAAGGTCTTTATGAAAATGAAATGCGATTTTTTTTAAGTGTAAATACCTATGTTGCTAATTATCATTAGACATTACTCCTGGGTGTTCTGAAACATTTTATTATCTAGAATTAATCCAGGTTGATTGCTATTCCTTGATTCTGATTTTTAGTCCTTGATTTTTTAAATAATATTTTTATTTTGGAAAAGTTTTAGATTTACAAAAGAGTTCCAACAGAGAGTCCCCTTTGCCCTTCTCTCAGTTTCTCCTAATGTTAACATTTTACATAACTATGGTCTATTGTAAAACTGAAGAGCACTATACTGGTCCATTTGAGTTAATTAACTGTAGACTTTATTCAGATTTTCCCCATTTATCAAATAATGTCCTTTTCCTGTTCTAGGACTCAAACCAGGACACCATATTGCATTTAGTCCTCATGTCTCCTTGGTCTCAACTGGTTTGTGATGGTCTCTCAGTCTCTCCTTATCTTTCATTCGTTGACATTATGAGGCCAAATACTGTGTAGAGTCCTATCCATCATTTGGTTTTGTCTGACAGTTTTTCTTGTGCTTGGTTTGGGCTAGTGAAGTGCTCTTCTCATCCTATCATATCAGATCAGTAAGACTTATTACTGATGATAGTAACCTTAACCACTTGGTTAAGGTGGGACCTGCCAGGATTTTCCACTGCAAAGTAACTATTAAGTAACTATTTCCCTTCCCATTCCTTATTATTTAAAAGAAAAGAAAGTTACTCGGTCCAACCCACACTCAAGGGAAGGGGAGCTACACTTGACCTCCTGAAAGGTGGAGTATCTACATATATTATTTGGAATTCTTTTGTAAGGAAGGCTCATCTCTTTTACCCCACTTATTTGCCTGTTTAATCATTTATTTATATCATTATGGACTTGTGTTTAATTATTTTATACTTTGGGTTATAATCCAATACTACAGTATTTATTTTGTTGCTCAAACTGTTCCAGCTTTGGACTAGAGCTCCATCAGCTCCCTCCAGGTCCCTGTGATGTGGCCCCGTAACTGCATCTTTTGTTTGCTGTTTTTGTTTTTGTTTTGAGCACTTTCTGATTTCCTGGCTCTAGAAGATGTCCCAGCCCTTGAATCAGCCATTTCTCCAAGGCCCCTGGTTCCTTTTGCTGGAAAATGGTATGAGAAACCAAGAACTGGGCACTGGGTGTGCTTGTTATTACTGGCTGATGCATACTTTTTATCCAAATAAAATAAGTGAACATATTTCACATCAGAGAGATAATGGGCTTTAACTGGCTGTGTTACCTTGGTAACTTATTCTGTCACACTGGGTCTTAGTTTCCTCATCTGTGCGTAAGGATAATAAAAATCACTCAAAAAGGCTGCTATAGGGTCAAGGGGGATTACAGTGAAGGCACTTTCTGTTTTTGATACTAGAGGGCTGTGTTTTTCAAAATTCCTCTAAAACATCAGTGATCTGACAAAACAACAATGTCAAAAGTTACAGGAAAATGGGAACCAAGACAAATAAACAAGAAAATTGCTTTTGCCCTGAAGGCATTTACCATTTCCAGCAAATCTGAATTTTTACTTTGACAGCCTCATAGTGGTTGGGGTGAGGGAGGGAGTGAAGAGAGTCAAAATCAGGGCCAGCACCAGGCAAGAAATTTAATAGACAATAAATTGAATGCCAAAGAGCTATAACTGTGGGGGAGGATAAAGAAATTAGTGGCCTTCTTTGAACCCTCTGAGTCTTCCAGGAAACCTCAAGCCTTGCATTTGGTTAAGGTGGATCTCAAACTGAGAGTACTTTCAAATACCTTACCAGGAAAAGAAGAAAGTACCTTCAATTCGACCTTCATATAAATCTTACAATCATTTTTCAATAACTGACTAGAACACATTAAAAGATAATTAGACACACAGCAGAAGCAACAGACAAAATAGGTCTGTAAAGACTTAAAATATTGGGATTATTGGCTACAGACTATAAAACAACTATGCTTCAATGCATGAAGAAGTAAAACACAAAACTGACTCTATGTTTGGGGGACAAAAAACTAAAAAGTGTAATGGATGATAAAAAATATTTAAAAAAATAGAAATTGTAACAACTGGGAATAAAAATTCAAGGGACAAGTTAACCAGTACATTAGATGCACCTAAAGAAAGGATCAATAAATTGAAGCATTATCACGTGAAAGCATCCAGATCAGTGTTAGCAAGATTGATCACCCCCATCCCTTTGTGTTCTTTCTATTTAGCTCCTCCATTTGACTGAGGGTCCCAGACATTTTTCGTGAAGAGAAACTGCTAATAATATTTCTGAAACCCAAGATTCCTGCAAAGGAGTGTGCTAAAAGTCGGAGAGAAGCCATTGTGTCCGCTCCACCATCCTCCCGCCTTGGGAGCTGTAAGAGAGCACATAGCTGGCAGCCCAAGGGTCTGCAGAAGAAGGCCTTGAGGTATCCCATAGACCCAAGCAACGCAGGTCTAGCCCCACAGACACAGCTTGTTCCCAAGTGGCTGGCTGCTCCCTGCTTACCTCTGAGGCTGCTATTAAGGACCCAGTAAGCGAGACGTGCAGAAAGCAGGTTGCACTATAAGAATATAAAAGCACTTCAATGCCTATGTGAAAGTTGTTTTTTTACTGGGCATTCAGCTTTTTTTTTTTTTTTTTAGTATTAAAAATTATTTTCATTTCCTCTTTCCAAAGTGGGCATTTTCTGGGTGGAGGGTAGTCTCCAAAGATCATTGCCAGCAATTCTTTTCTTCCCTAGATGTACATGCTACTCCCCACATTGAGAGGTGAGGTCTTCCCCCAGCCAGAGGTCTGTGCTGGCCTTGTGATTTTCTCTGGCTGGCAGAATGCAGCTGCAGTCATTGATATTAGTTCTGGGACTGGCCTTTGAGATGATTGGCATCTTCCACTGTCTCTTTGGAAGCCAGCCATTGGGAAAAACATTTGGCTACCCTGAGCCTATTGTGCCGTGAAGAAGTCCACACTAAGCCGTAGAGAAACAGTGGCCCAGCGGCCTCAGCAGTTCCTGCTGAGGTGAGTGCCATGAAGAGTGAAGAAGCCGTCTTCAGCACATAGCCCCTGAAGGCACCACATGCAGCACAAAAGGTCTGGCTGATCCCTGTCCAGACTGCAGAATCATGAGGAATAATCAATAGTTGTTATTTATGCTACTAAGTTTAAGGTGTCATTTGTTACATGGCATAGATAACTGGGACATCTTTATATACACTTTTCTTCATAATCTCCGTTCTCTTGAAAAGGAGAAAGATTCTTCAAGGTTATTGAGGGCCCACAGTCATCCAGCTCCTATGGACTTCTCCAGGTTTTTCCATCATTTGACACTTCAGTTTCTTAATGTGTCTGTCCTATACACTCCCATTTCTATGATTTTGCTCGTGTTATCAACCCGGCCTAAAGGCTCAGCTGCACTACCCCCTCCTCAATTGAACCATCACCTCCACGTTGAGCTGTCTGTCCCCTCTTCAAGGCCTAGCACAAGAATGACATTCATTCCTAATTGACATCTGTCCTCTGAACTCTGAGCTTATTCTTGTGGCCCAGTTCATCAGAAAGCCTCTGCTCCCATGTATTATTATTTGTGTTTTTTAAAGTCAGCTTTGCTTCCCCAAATATAATGAACTCCCTCAGATGCAGAGGCTGCGCGTACACCTGTTTGTGTGTCAACACCTAACACAGCCTGGGAAAGAAGAGGTCCTCAGAAAGCACTTAATAGAGGACTATACCATTTTATAGTCTTTTTCATTTAGAGCAGCACTTTGTGTCGTGATTCACTGGATCTACCTTCATTGTCAGGTGCTCTTCTGTCATACTGAGTTCCTGTTAAATACCTATGGTATTTAACAGACATAAAAATACCTATGGTATTTTTCTCTGATTATGAAGAATGAGTTAGTAAGTTTTGGTAAGAAGTAGGAAAATGAAACGCACTTAATACGCTTTTTTTTTTTTTTTTTGTCAAGACAAGGAAAACACTTTTGATTCCCTCCTCTCCTTTTCATGTCAGAAAGTTCACGCACAGTGAATCATTTCCTTGTCACTTGAACTCTAAAGTGTAACATGATCATGGTAGGCAATGAAAACACATATACGAAGTCCCAGAGGCACAAAAACCCATGAGTGGAAACTGATAAAAGATTGGCAGGACTGTTTTCTAAGAAAGCAGAGAGCTGACAGCTGATCCACAAAGGGTTTCTTCTGCACACCAGGGACGCTTACCTGACTCCTAATCCTCATGCTCACTGTAGGAGTCAAATATTTATGTTCTAGATGGCAGGCTCTCTCCTGGAACACCAGCTTGGTTCCACACAACAGACAAAACTATGGGTGGGGGAAGAGGAGAAAGCCGAACAAAGAGTAGCATATTAGAAAATGCAGAATTTAAGGAGGGGAGAGAAATAGCATATTGTTGCATTTCATACAATCATAAAAGTTAATACTTCCCAAATTAAAATGGTCACATTTTGAACATGCAGTATATATTTTATTTTTTAAAACCATTGTATGGAAAAATTAAAGTAGAATAGCGTAACCAACTCTCATGTCTCCATCCCCCCAACTCAACAAATATGAATTGATGGACAGTCTTGCTTCATCTGTAACCTCACCTAGTTCTCCCCCACCCCAGGTTATTTAGAAGCAAATTCCACTCATAAGCTAGTTAAATTAATATTCCTGTTTGCTTTCCTTTTCAGTTAAAGATTATATTATTCAGAATGTTCATTTATAGTTTCATAAATTGAGAAGGAAAGCAAACATTTGAACATGTTTTGATTAAACTTTCATAGATTTTCACAAAAATAGCATCACTCATTTTACATTTTGTTTCGGTATGGTTTTCCTATTGCATTTCTGAAACCTGCATTCAGAACTCCTCTGTGACATCAGTGGCATCAAGCAATAATACATGAGTTTTCCTGTATCAACAAGTAACTTTAGGGTTTTCTGGGGGGGATTTTTAAAATATTAACTTAATGCTATTAGCAATCTCCAGACACTATTTTATAAAAAGACTGAAGCACACAATTACAAAAAATGCAGACTTTTTAAAAATGGTGTAGCCATGTTGAAAAATAAATGTTAAGTACATTTGTAAATGTTGTACAGTGGTATCAACTTCCTGAGAGAGTAGTGCTTTAGTTAAGTGAATAACAGCACCTGCATATTGAAGTGCTTTTCAGATAACATAGTATAATGATGGCAGACAATCATTTAAAGCTTAAACTGTATTTCCAGTAGAACACATGTATCTGTTCTTAACTATTTTCTTGATAACATTGGTCTCTGCACACATAACTGATTGCTTTTATGCATCCATTGATAATTCAACAAATAAGACAATTACAGCTAACTTGATTTGTCTATTTTCTTTATATGGAAAACTGTTGTAGACCCAATGACTAAACTTCAAAATAAAATATTTTATATTATGAATATTGATTTCAATACCAAAGAATATGGAGAAGCTAAAATTTGGATATGATTCTTGTTTTTCAATAAAAATTTTTCTTTAAATTTATTTTGTTAAATAAACATCATCGTTGTGATTTTCAATAGCATCTTTCTTCTTTGTCTTATTACATTCAACATGTATGCAGCAATTTTGAAATCTTTGAAGAGAAATGTTTATTTGGGCATGCATTAATTAAACTTATAAAGTAGTATTTGAATTGAAAGAAGTAATTTCTCTGCTTATTTATCTTTTTGTTGTTTAAACACTTTAAACATTTAAAACAAAAGCCAACTTCTGATATTTGAGTAATGCTATACTTTTTTTCAACAAGTAACTTTGAAGTTAACTATTCATTTAGCTGTTTATATTCAATAATTCCAAAGTTACACAGAAGCAGAAAGAATAGCATAATGTGCCTCCATGTCTCCATTTCCCAGCTTCAACAACTGTCATCTCATGGCCAATCTTGTTTTATCTCCACTCCAACCTGTCCCATCCTCTCTGTATTATTGTGAAGCAAAGCTCAGTCCCATCATTTCATCCATGAACATTTCACTGTGTATCTCTAAAAGATAATGACCTTTTCAAAGTAAGATACTCTCTAAGTTAACCCAAGTGAGAGCAACAAAACCTTCCTATTCAGAGTCAGGCAAAGATGGCTGTCACACCGGAAGGCCCTACACCTTCTGTGGGCCATCAGACTCAGAAATCATGCAGTTGGCAGTCATGTAGAAGATACAGGTTCTTCTTTTCCTGAGCTTCTGGGACATCTTTGAAATAGCATCATTATGAAGAGTTTCAACTCTTCAGTCCTCCCAGAAGGGGTCCTAGTATGGCTTAGCAGCTTGTCTATGAATATATTTAAGACTAATTAAGACCTCTTTCGGACCTTGGCCAAGTTCTGGGCACTATCTGCTTGGTGAGTGTAAGCTTTCTTTGGCTCTTTTATGCAACAGCAATAAAGATGTTAGCTGACCCTACAGACAACAGTGAGTGCAACTGAAAAATACTGCAGTAAATTCTGAAATCATGCATTCTTACAAAAATAATAAATTTTATAGATTATGTGGCTTAACTGAATCACAAATCTCTAAGTGAACTTCATATAATTCCACAAATGTTTATTGTGGATTCCTAGGTGCAGAAAGTTAATCCTCATTCCTCTTGGGTATACAAAGATAAAGATCAATGATAAGAAACCCAAAGCCACAAGAGAATAAGTAAGCCATTTTTAAAAGAAATAATCTATTTAATCTTCTCATTCAACCCAGAACCCTGTGTCAGCCAATGTGCAACTAAGAAACAGATGACACGTTCACATTAGGATGATTCCAAAAGAGTTTAATACTTAATTTATAAAGATGTAAGAGAGCCACAGGGATAGTGCAGTCCCCCAGGAGGAGTAACTCTGCAGATGTAGGTCTGGAATGAGAAGGGCAGGGAGCGGCTACTGGATCCTGGAAGAGAGAGCTATGGAGAAAGGGATACTTTAAAGGGAGCTGTGACCTTCAGCCCAGAAACACAGAAATCCCAAGGTGATCCCACAGGAAGGCAGGCAGGGGCAGGGATATTGCCACCTCCTTCTCCTCCCCGTCTCCAGTCTCTAGCTGGAGTTTTCTGTTCAGAACCAAACTGGATCCAGAGGGCAAGGATTCTACTGACGCAGGTTATAAGGGTCAACTTCCTGGACCCAGAGCAGGGGGGAGAGGGTGGAGAGTAGCACTGAAGAGGCAAAGAGAGGAGATCCAGCAGCAGCAGACAGGTGGTCACCCACCCTCCAGTCCAGGCCATTTGCTCAGGCCCAAGCCCACTGGGCCCCACAGTGCTCCTAACAAGCCCCTTGCTGCAGACACCACTCCCAGACTTCATTCCCAAATGCTGGCTCTAACCAGCCTCACACCAATTTAAAATGGGCAAAAGATTTTAACAGACTACACTAAAGAGGATATGCGTATGGCAAAAAAGCCCATGAAAAGATTTTCAATATCATTAGCTGCTGGGGAAATGAAAGTTAAAGCCATAATGAGATACTCCTATGTCCCTCCTGGGTATTTATGCCTCCATGGCAAAAAATGAAAAATACTGGAAACATCAAGCGCTGGTGAGGATACTGACAACTGGATCTCATACACTGAGAATGTGAAGTTCCTTTTAATGTTAAATGTGCATTTACCATAAGACCTGGTACATTCACTCCTAGGTATTTACTCTAAAGCAGCGGTTCTCAACTGCGGATGATTTTTGTCCCCAAAAGACATTTGGCAATGTCTGCAGACTTTGTTTGTCATAACTGGGAGAATTCAACGGACATCTAGTAAATAGAGGCCAGGGATATTTCTAAAAACACCCTAGAAAGCACAGGGCAGCCCCCATAAAATAGAAATAACTGGCCAAAAATGTCAACAGTGCCAAGATTGAGAAACTCTGCCCTAGAGAAAGAAAACTTATGTTTATACAATACAATAACCTATATGTGAATATCTATAGCAGCTCTACTCACAATCAGCAAAAACAAAACAACCCAAATGTCCTTCACTGGACAAATAAAAATATTATGGTATCTTCATACCATGAAATTCTACTCAGCAATGGAAGAGAGTAACTGTTGGTGTGTGCATGAACTTTGCTGAATCTTGAAGACATACTGAATGAAGAAAGTCAATATCCAAAAACTACAAATTGTATGATTCCATTCATGTAACATTCTCAAAAAGAGACAAAGCTATAGTGATGAACAAGTCATTGATTACCAGGGGTTATCAGAAGAGGGAAAGGATGATTATAAAGGCACACCATAAAGAATTATTTTAGGATGGTCACATTGTTCTGCATCTTGACTGTAGTGGTAATTATAGGATCTTATCAATGTGTTAATATTCATAGAATTATACACCCCTAGATAAGGTCATCTTGCTGTATAATAATTAAAATATATCATCTTTCTATGTACAATCTCCTCCTCTTTGATTATTGCAAACTCCAAGCTGAAATGGCTACCTCCTCTAATGGTTCCTAGTATTGAACTCTTGTCCCTGATCTCCTCCCACTGAAAGCTACTCCTTCCTTCCTGGCTTCTCATAGCAGCGTGCATTCCCCTCTGTTACACATTCTGCCCCTTGGTGTAATTATCTGTCCATGTGACCTTCTTCCTGACCACAACGCGATTAGGAAGGCAGGACCTGTGGCTCATGCATCCTGTTTTTTCTGCAGTGCCCAGCCCAGCATTAGGGCTTACTGTGCATTTGTGGGACTGAAGAGCTCAGAGATCTTGGGCTCCCAGGGGCATAATCCCACTGGGACCAAGGACAGAAAAAAATGAAAGTTGCCTGTGATTTATGACAAGTAGGCAGCCTAGATCTGTGGCCCAGACTGCATAATAAGCAAGAAGTTGAAGCTAAAGGACCGAGTTGGACCTCTAGTGTCAGAGAAGATGAACAAAGCTTATTAATGCACGGTAATAGCAGCGTGATACCAGAACAGCTTCCCCAGCAACAACCCAGTTCTCTCACTGTGATAAAGTGCTCTGCCTTCTGCCTCAGACTTTAGCCTTTTGGGATCTGCATTGCTGCCTGGTAAAATTGATGGGCAGTGGCACCATCTCTTAGTTTAAGGAAATCCTTCCAGCATTAGCAAAAAGTATTGGCTTTGCAATTTCTAAGGGCATTCCTTACAATAGGAAACTGATGAAAAAACTGGACCAGATGGAACGATGCCCATCTCTAATGCATGTAGTTCATCTGCCCGGTCTCCTTCATGTCACCAGCTCCAGGTGTGAGCTCATCACCCTCCACAGGTGAGGACCTATTATTTATATTTAACTGGAGATGGGCGGAGGGGTCAACTTTAGTGTCCTTTTTCTGTTGTTGTT